CTCACCAATCTTCCTGAAAGAGAGGTCAAATAAAAATCATAAACATGCTCATGGAGGTACAGAAAAATATTCAAGAACTCAGGGACAAATTTAGGATGGAGATTCAATTATTAAGAATTGCATATCTGAAGTGAAACAATGGAGAAGTTTAAAAGCAAATTAGATGTAGTAGAAGAGATGGTAAATGGAATAGAAATTAGAGAAGAATACAAAGAAGCTAACACACAGAGAAAAAAGGATCTCTAGGAATGAAAGAATATTGAAAAAACTGTGTGACCAATCCAAATGGAACAATATTCTCATTGTAGGAGAAGAACAGAGAGTAAAAGGGGTGGAAAGTGTCTTTTAGGAGGTAATTACTGAAATCTTCCCCATTTGGGGAAGGAGATATTCTCTCAGGCCATAGAGGTGCACAGATCTACCAACACTAGGAATCCAAGGAAGACAACACCAAGATTTAATAATAATTAAAATGGCAAAGACCAAGGATAAGGGCAGACTTTTAAAAGCAGCCAGAGAGAGAAAAAATCACATGCAAGGGAAAAACCATCGGGCTGTCATTAGACTTCTCAGCAGTAACCTTACAGGCCAGAAGGGAGTGGCATGATATGTTTAAGGCAGTGAAACAGAAGGGCTTCAAACTAAGAATACTCCATCCAGCAAGATTATCATTTAGATTTGAAGGAGGAATTAAACAATTTCCAGATAAGCAAAGGCTGAGAGAATTTACCTCTTGCAAACAACCTCTACAGTGTATTTTGGAGGGACTGCTATAGATGGAACTGTTCCTAAGGCTAAATAGCTGTCACCAGGTGAAATAAACCACAATAAAGAAAGTAGAACAATTACTAAGCAGATGCAAAATCAAATCAACTATCCCCAAAGTCAATCAAGGGATAGACAAAGAGTACAGAAGATGCTACCTAATACATAAAGAATGGAGGAGGAAATAAAAAGAGCCTTTAGGTTGTGTTTGTAATAGCATACTGAGTTAAATTAGACTGTTAGATGGTAAGGGAATTACTCTTGAACCTGTGGTAACCACAAATCTAAAGCCTGTAATGGCAATAAATACATACTTATCAATAATCACCCTAAATGTAAATGGTCTGAATGCACCAATCAAAAGGCATAGAGTCACTAAATGGATAAAAAAGACAAGACCCATCTATATGCTGCCTGTAAGAGACCCACTTTAAACCCAAAGACATACAAAGACTGAAAGTAAAGGGATGGAAAAAGATATTTCATGCAACTAATAGGGAGAAAAAAGTAGGAGTTGCAGTACTTGTATCAGACAAAATAGACTGCAAAACAAAGAAAGTAACAAGAGATAAAGAAGGACATAACATAATGATAAGGGGTCAGTGCAATAACAGGATATAACTATTATAATATGTACCCAACACAGGATCACCTATATATATGAAACATACTAAGAGAATTAAAGGGGGAAATAGAATACAATGCATTCGTTTTAGGAGACTTAAACACACCACTCATTCCAAAGGACAGATCAACCAGACAGAAAGTAAGCAAGGAGACAGAGGCACTGAACAACACATTAGAACAGATGGACCTAATGGACATCTACAGAACCCTACACCCAAAAGCAGCAGAATACACATTCTTCTCAAGTGTTCATGGAACATTTTCCAGAATAGACCACATACTAGGCCACAAAAAGAGCCTCAGTAAATTAAAAAAGATTGAAATTGTACCAACCAGCTTCTCAGACCATAAAGGTATGAAACTAGAAATAAATTACACAAAGAAAATGAAAAAGCCCACAAACACAAGGAGGCTTAATAACATGCTCCTAAATGATCAATGGATCAATAACTAGATAAAAACAGATCAAGCAATATATGAAGACAAAAGACAACAATAATTCAACACCGCAAAATCTGGGACAGTGAAGGCCATGCTAAGAGGGAAGTATTTTGCAATATGGGCCTACCTCAGGAAAGAAGAAAAATCAAATATGGACAGTCTAAATTCACAAGTAAAACTAGAAAAAGAAGAACAAACAAGGCCCAAAATCAGTAGAAGGAGGGACATAATAAAGATTAGGGCAGAAATAAATAAAATTGAGAAGAATAAAACAATAGAATAAATGAAAGCAGAACCTAGTTCTTTGAGAAAATGAACAAAATAGATAAATCCCTAGCCAAACTTATCAAGAAAAAAAGAGAGTCTACACACATAAGTAGAATCAGAAATGAGAAAGGAAAAATCACTACCAACACCATAGAAGTACAAAGAATTATGAGAGAATACTATGAAAAACTATATGCTAACTGGATAACCTAAAGAAATGGACAATGTTATAGAAAAATACAACCTTCCAAGTCTGACCCAGGAAGAAACAGAAAATCTGAATAGACCAATTACCAGCAATGAAATTGAATTCATAATAAAAAACTACCTAAGAACAAAATCCCTGGACCACATGGCTTCACTGCTAAATTTTACCAAATAATTAGTGAAGGCTTAATACCCATCCTCCATAATGTTTTCCAAGAAGTAGAGGAGGGAATATTCCCAAACTCATTCTACAAGGCCAACATCACTCTAATACCAAAACCACACAAAGATACCACACACAAAAAGAAAATTCCAGACCAATATCCCTGATGAACATAGATGCAAAAATACTCGACAAAATTTTAGCAAACTGAATTCAAAAATACATAAAAAAGATCATCCATCATGATCAAGTAGGATTTGTTCTAGGGATGAAAGGATGGTGAAACATTTGAATATACATCAACATCAACCACATCAACAAAAAGGACAAAAACCACATATCATCTCAATAGATGCTGAAAAAACATTTGACAAAATTCAACATACATTCATGATAAAAACTCAACAAAATGGGTATAGAGGGCAAGTACCTCAACATAATAAAGGCCATATATGGCAAACTCCCAGCCAATATCATACTTAACAATGAGAAGCTGAAAGCTTTTCCTCTAAGATTGGGAACAAGACAAGGATGCCCACTCTCCCCACTGTTATTCAACATAGTTCTGGAGGTCCTACCCATGGCAATCAGACAACACAAAGAAATAAAAGGTATCCAGATTGGCAAGGAAGAAGACAAATTATACCTGTTGCAGATGATATGTAGATAAAAAACCCTAAAGAATCCACTCCAAAAGTGCTAGATCTAATATCTGAATTCAGCAGAGTTGCAGGATACAAAATGCACAGAAATCTGTTGCATTCCTGTACACGAATGATGAACTAGCAGAAAAAGAAATCAGGAAAACAATTCCGTTCACAATTGAGTCAAAAAGAATAAAATACCTAGGAATAAACATAACCAAGGAAGTGAAAGACCTATACTCTGAAAACTGTAAAACACTCAGATAAATAAATTAAAGAAGACACCAATAAATGGAAACATATCCCATGCTCATAGATAGGAAGAATTAATATTGTCAAAATGGCCACCCTGCCTAAAGCAATTTACAGATTCAATGAAATCTCTATTAAAGTACCAACAGCATTCTTCAACAAACTAGAGCAAATGGTTCTAAAATTCATACAGAGCCACAAAAGACCCAGTAGCAAAGCAATCCTGAGAAGGAAGAATAAAGTGGTGAGAATTATGCTCCCTGACTTCAAGCTCTATTACAAAGCCACAGTAATCAAGACAATTTAGTACTGGCACAAGAACAGACCCATAACAAATGGAACAGAATAGAGAGCACAGATATAAACCCAAGCATATATGGTGAATTAATATATGATAAAGGAGCCATGGATATAAAATGGGGGTAATGACAGCTTCTTCAACAACTGGTGTTGGCAAAACTGGACAGCTACATGTAAGAGAATGAAACTGGATTACTGCCTAACCCCATACACAAAAGTAAATTCAAAATGGATCAAAGACCTGAATGTAAGTCATGAAACCATAAAACTCTTAGAAGACAATATAGGCAAAAATCTCCTGAATATAAACATGAGCAACTTTTTCCTGAACATATGTCCACATGGCAAGGGAAACAAAAAATGAACAAATGGGACTACATCAAGCTAAAATGCTGTACAGCGAAGGACACCACCAATAGGACAAAAAGGCATCCTACAATATGGGAGAATATAGTTGTAAATTACATATCCAATAAGAGGTTAACATACAAAATATATAAAGAACTCACATGCCTCAACACCCAAAAAGCAAATAACCTGATTAAAAAATGGGTGGAGCATATGAACAGACACTTCTCTACAGAAGAAATTCAGATGGCCAGCAGGCACAATGAGATCTCACCTCACCAGTTAGGATGGCCAACATAGAAAAGACTAGAAATGACATGCTGGTGAGGATGCAGAGAATGGGGAACTGTCCTACACTGCTGTGGGAATGTAAACCAGCCCAACCATTGTGGAAAGCAATATGGAGTTTCCTCAAAATCTAAAAATAGAAAATACCATTTGACCTGGGAATTCCACTCATAGGAATTTACCCAAAGAAAACAACTCAGATTCAAAAAGGCATATGCACCCCTATGTTTATTGCAACACTATTTACAATAGCGAAGATACAAAAGCAACCTCAACCTAAGTGTCCATCACTAGATGAATGTATAAAGAAGATGTGGTACATATACACAATGGAATACCATTGAGCCATAAGAAAGAAACAAATCCTACCATTTGCAACAACATGGATGGAGCTAGAGGGTATTATGCTCAGTGAAATAAGCCAGTTGGAGAAAGACAAGTACCAAATTATTTCCTTCATTTGTGGAGTATAACAATGAAGCAAAACTAAAGGAACAAAATAGCAGCAGACTCACAGACTCTAAGAAGGGACTAGTGGTTGCCAAAGGGGAGGGGTGGGGGATGGAGGGAGAAGCGGACTGTGGGGTATCATGATTGGTGCACATGGTGTGTATGAGGTCACAGGGAAGACAGCATAGCTCAGAGAAGACAGGACTTTCTGGCATCTTACTACACTGATGACAATGGGGTATGGGAGGGACTTGATAGTAAGGGTGAATGTAATAATCACATTGTTTTTCTTGTGAAATCTTCATAATAGTGATACCTTAATAAAAGAACCATGAGTTCATCTGACAGAACCAATTCAAATTTAATGTCAGTTTTTTCTTATCTTTATTATATATTTATCTTTTCTCATAGAAAAATATTGTGGTTTATAATTATACTAATATATTTACTTATCTACTTTGTCCTTTAATGTGTATTTTTTCATAATTACAATACAAATATTAACACCAGCAATAAACCTATTAAATAGAAAAAAATCTTTGATAAGACAAGTTTTGTGTTTTCTTGATCATAAATTCAGATTATCTTTTCTCTTTGTTAACTTGTTTTTATATTTATTTTCTCAGTGAAGAGAATGATGTATGGACAAAATGGAAATATTAGTAAAGAGATGGAAAACCTAAGTAGAACCCAACAAGCAATTCTAAAACTAAAAAGTACAGTAACTGGAATGATCAATTTACTAGAGGGATGATTCAAAGACAGCTTTGAGCAGGCAGAATAAATGATCAGTGAACTAGAATCTAGGATAGTGGAAATTATTGAATCAGAGCAACAGGAAGAATAAAAACTGAAGAAATGTGAAAAGAGCCTAAGGGACCTGTGTGATACCATTAAATGGACCAACATAAGCATTGCAGGAGACCCAGAAAGGAGAGAAAGGAGTAGAGACAATATCTGAAGAAACAATAGTTGAAATTGTCGCAAGTTTGGTGAAGGACGAATATAAACATGTCAAAAACAAGGAACAAGAAGATTGACTCAAAGAGACCATACAAGACACATAAAAATCAAACCTTCAAAAGGAAAAGAGGGAATCTTGAAGAAAAATATCTTGAAAAAGCAAGAGAAGATGATCACCAAACTCCTCATCAGAAACTGTGGAGGCCAGAAGGCAGTGGGCTCGTATCTTCAAATTTCTAAGAGGAAAAAAAAAAGTTACTGATGGTCTTACATCTGGCAAAAGTGCCTTTCAAAAGGAAGGAATAAGTCATTTTCAGATAAATAAAAGCTGGGAGACTTAATTTCCAGTAGATCTGCCCTGTAAGATGTGCTCAAGGGAGTCTTGTACGGTGAAATGAAAGGATGCTAGATAGGGACTGGAAGCCTTATGAAAAAATTACAACCTCAACAGAAGGAAATGCAAAGGCAATTATAAAAGCTAATAATTAACAACAGTTCGTAACTCTTTTTGCTTTCTACATGATTTAAAAGACTAATACACTAAAAATGAATCTCAAAACTAGTATCATTGTAATTTTGACTTGTAAATCCACATTTTCTTCTCTATATCATTTAAGGGATTACTGTTCTGCCACAGATTATTTATGTTTTTGGGCATGTGGTGTATAAAGGTATGATTTTGTGGTATCAAAAGTGAAATCAGTGGTAACCAAAGAGTAAAGGAGCAGACCTTTTGTATGCTATCCATTGGTATAAAGTCAAATTAGTTGAGGTAATTGTTAACTAATCTACAAGGCACCCACAAAATAAATAGGTATAGAACAAATAGGAAATGAAATAGCACTTCAAACATTTCACTACCAAAAATCAACTAAACACAAAAGGATATAGCAATGCAGAAAATGAGATGAAAATGCTGTAAGGTGCACAGAAAACAAATAGCAAAATGAGAAAAGTCCCTCCTTATCACAAATTACTTAATGTAAAAAAAAACCTTCCAATCAAAAGACAGAGATTAGCAGAATGTTTAAAGCCCATGATCCAACTATAAACTATCTAAAAAAAGATGCACTTTAGACCCTAAGACACTAATAGATGGAAAGTGAGGGGATGGAAAAGGATATTACATACAAATAGTAAGCAAAAGAGAGCAGAGGTGACTCTAATATCAATGTAGACTTGAAATAAAAAATACCTGAGACGAGCTCATTATGTATTAATAAAAAGTTCAAAACAGGAAGAAGATAAAACAAGTATAAACATTTATGCACCTAATAACAGACCATCAAATATGTGAAGCAAAAGCTGAATAGAAGGGAGAAATAGAAAGTTGTACAGTTAATAGCTGTAGATTTCCATATGCCACTCTCAAAAATGGGTAGAAAAACCAGAAAGAAAATAAGGAAATAGAGGACTTAAATACAGTAACCCAATTAGATCTAACAGACATGTATAGAACACTCTAACCAACAAGAGCATAAACATTTTTCTCAAGGGGTATTTTCCAGGATAAACCATATGTTATGCTATAAATTAGGTCTCAATGGATTTTAAAAGATAAGTACCATACAGAAATTTCTTAGACTACAATGGAATGAAGTTAGAAGCCAACTACAGAAGTAAAACTGGAAAATCCACAAATTTATGGAAACTGAGCACACACTCTTAAACAACCAATGGATCAAAGAAGATATAAGAGAAATTGCAAAATATTTAGAAATGAATGAAAATGAGACAAGCATATCAAAATTAATGGGATGCAGGGAAAGGAGTACAAAGGAAGGCATTCATAGTGATATTTTTATTGAAGCATGGTTGATATACATTATGTTGGTTAGGAAATTTATAGCTTTAAATGCTTGTGTTAAGAAAACAAGAAAGAGCTCAAAGAACAATCTATAACTACCACATAGGAACTAGAAGAGGAACAAGAAACAAAACTCCAAGGTAGTGAAAGGAAGGAAAAAATAAATATTAGTGGACAGATCAATGAAACACAGAATAGCAATACAACAGAAAAAATCAACAAAAAAATTGGTTCTTGAGAAAAATCAACAAAATTGAGAAATCATTAGTGAGATGGACTAAGAAGGAAGACTCAAATTACTGAAATCAGTAGTATAATGTACATTACTACTGTTTCTACAGAATTGAAAAGGAGCACATGGAAGTACTATTAGCGATTGTATGACAGCAAATTGGATAACTGAGATGAGAAGGAAAAAGTCCGAGGAACACAAAACCAAAGGGACAAAAGCATGATGAAACAGGAAGTTTTAACGGACTTACAAGTAGTGAGGAGATTGAGTCAATAATTTAAAATCTGAAAAACAAAATTCCTGGACCAGATGGCTTCACTGGTGAATTCTACCAAAAGATAAAAGAAGAAACTGTATCATTCTTTGGAAACCATTCCCAAAACTTGAAGACAAAGTGAGGCCAACATTACCCTGTTCTCTGCTGGCTGAAAAGTCGTACCCATCTGATGAAAACTAGTAGAAAATTAGGTTTGGCTTTGGACCTTTGCAGGGCACCATGTAGTACTTGAGCGGCTCTTGTTGCTACCATCTGTCTTAAGTCAGCTGTTTGTCAGATCTTGGGAACTACAACATTTCACAAATTTCTGTATCCAATTCAGGTTGCACTCCGAGCTTATCAATGAATGATTGCATGGCAAAGCATCTTCCAAGTAGAAAATTTTTCTTTAGGCCATTAGGCTGGACAGTCTAATGACTTCACAAACCAAATTTGGAGTAAAATGGTTAATTAAGGAAAAAATAAGTAATGATTTGGGTTTTTTGGTAGGGTTTATAGGAAACTACCAACAATAATGTTAGACTCTTAGGATACATGTTTCTATGACTCGTTCAAGTACCCTATGGTTATATTTAGAACCATAGTCTAGATTATGTGCACCCCTGAACCTCTTTCCTTAGCCAGTCATTTCCTGTTCACAGAACAGGAATCTCTGCCATTGTGCAGAACCCTGTTATGTTTACTTCACCCCCTTAACTTGTAAAACAGACTGTGATTTGACTGTCCCACGGTGCTGTTGCTCTGAAGCTAAACACTGTGGAGAGGGTATGTTTGTCTGGAGTTCCTCATTAATGCCATGCGACCTCACTTATTATTCAGCCATTTAAAAATGTTGAGTTGGAGCATCTTGACAGGAAAATAACCATGTGCATGATTTCTCTAATAGACTGATGTGTGATGCTGCAGTCTGCTGTTTAGCTGGGCCCCAGGATAGATCTAGGCAGTGTCTGTTCATTGCACTAACTGACAGGGTCCATCACTCTGATCTTGCGGAGGCAGATCTAAACAAGACAGTTTCCTAGGATGTTAAGTGAGCAGTTCTTCAGCAAAACTGATGAGGGGTGGGGTATGAAGGCGATTCCTTGTCTTCACACTGTATTCTATGCAGGGCAGCGATGCAGACTTGTGAGGGACACCTTCAGTGGTCCAAACTCAATAAGTGGACACAGAGATAAAGAGAACAGCAGAGCGAGGCTTTAATGATGCTCTTGCAAGATTGGGTGTCTGGTGGGCAGGCACACCTGGGGCACTGGGTGCAAGTAATTTGTTCCCTGGCATGTGAGTCCCTCCCCTGGTTCCTCATTGGCTGAAAACTACAGGGTTCACATCCTTTCCTGGACGTTGTCTAAGCCAGTTATATCCATGTGAGGCTTTCTCTTACATTTGTCTTAATTTTATTGGTGGGTTTAAAACTTCTTTCTCTTCTCAAACAGGTATATCCAGGTCCTTACCAATTCCCCCCAAAGCCCCACTCAGCCTGAGCAGCTTCCTGGCATATTTTCCACCACATGGCCCTTTGTTAATACCTTACTGTTAAAATGGCTAAATCTCCTGGTGGGAATAAATCACATTTAGGTTTTATGCTTTTTCTAACAGTTCCCCCTCTTCTTATTTATGAATTTCTGATTTCATTCCCAGTAATGTATTTCAACTCACGTTTGGCCCTTTTTCAAACCTAATAGATTTTTACTCTCTTTTTCATAGTCAAATTTACCTTCTGATAACATATGATTATTTTGGGTGTTTGTCATAGGTATTTGTTTATGGCTGCCTCTCACACAAGGGATGACCCAGCGTGCTGCAGCGGTTCCAACTCCGGCAACCGTAACGAGTGATGTTAAAACAGAGGTGGCCACACCTTTCCACCTTTCCATTTTCCACACCATCCTTCTAACCAGTCTGTAAAAGGGTCACTGACGCCAGGGTTTTCAGGTAATTCATTAGCTAAAGTGGTGAGTCCCTGTAGGGCTTTAGTAATAGTACCATCAGGGGCAGTATTATATGGGATAAAAATATACTTTCCTCCCAACATAACACAGACCCCTCCTTTTTCTGCTGACATCATACCTAACGCTGTCCTATTTTCCCAGGCTGTCCTGCTGGTGGCATCTAATTGGCAAGCTTCTCCTTGACAAGCATCCCTGGTATAGTTAATAAACCCTTGATTATAGTAAATGTATTGATCCAATCTACTTTTTTGTTGGTGGTGGACCACCGAAATAGTGCTGATTCAAACCCTGCAGCTGTTTGGTTTTGAGCTTTAAATTCATTAGGGACTCCCCTAGGGACTCCTGGTGAGTCAAGGTATACATTAAAATCAAAGGATCCTTGTAATGCTCTGCAATTTTTATGAAAAATTTGTTTTCCATTGAGTGTGGAGAGAACTGCCAGGGTAAATGGAGCAGACAGCTGGACCGAAGCTCAAGTCCCAGCCCAGCCTGACAACGAGTCGTGCAGGTTTCTCTCCATGGTACCATCAAACATCTGCGCGGGGATGCGTGATTTCGAGAAGTTGCCCTCTTTAGAGACATTTAGGACGTGGGTACAAGTCAGCAAGTTCCCCACAGGAGTTGTGAAACCTTTCTTTTACCCAGAGAGGCATGAGGAGTGAGTCATCGTCCCTATGGAAAAGGAGGGGGTTGCCCTCGGGGCTGACTTCTTTAGTGCAGGAAGGAGTGGAGACAAGCCCTTGCAGGTCCCATCTCCCCAAGCGTCCTTGTCCTGACTTAGGGCCAACGTGCAGTTCACCCCAGTGGGGGCTGTGCCCCAGCCGAGAGGGAACGGGACCAACTGCACCTGTGGCCGTCCTGCAGCACATGCATAATGATCACTTTTTTCCAAAGCTATTACTGAAAATTTGACCCATTTACCCAGGTATTGGTGTCTCCATAACCTGTCTCAATTTCAAGAGTCTATTACACATTCCTTACCTCTGTTCCAGTAACTAGTTTAGGGTCATTACAGGGAAGCTCTGGCTCATTATCTCCCTCCGGATTGGGGGTGGCACTCTGGGTGAAGTCTTGTCTTTGATTAAATTAAGACCATACCCTCCCACGGCATCTATTCCAGTGACATCTGCACCGAATCCATAAACACGAGAGCAATCACAGGATCTGAGCCTAAGTCTCAAGGATTATGTGTGGTTAACAAGAGGGGGGCTTACGCTGTCTGTCCTGGCAAGTCTCAGGCGGAATGCCTGCAGCCACGCGGGGCTTTCCTGTTAAAGGTTTCCCTGCTGCATGAGGGGCCATCCACCCTTGAAACTGGGCAGTCCACCAGGCACTGCTCCACCCTGGACACGGGGCCCACCTGCCCGTTCACTCTGTCAACATGCGTCCATTCAGGACAGAGGCGCTTCCACCAGGCACTGCTCCACCCTGGACACGGGGCCCACCTGCCCGTTCACTCTGTCAACATGCGTCCATTCGGGACAGAGGCGCTTCCACCAGGCACTGCTCCACCCTGGACACGGGGCCCACCTGCCCGTTCACTCTGTCAACATGCGTCCATTCTGGACAGAGGCGCTTACTACCTCCGGAAGCTGTCCTTGGCCATTCAGGTCATCCCACGGGAGAACCCGATGCGCATCAAGCCTGATGGTTTGGGGGCCTGACGGCTTTGTGATATTGGTCACCAGCTTGACGGGATAACCAGGAGTTCCTTCCCATTCTAGGGCTCCCTGAGACTTGTCTGTAAAATAGAGTTAGGAAGAAAAAAGATAACATTTTTAGGTTCTTTTTAGTTTTGGCTTTAAGTGTTGGTTAGCCACCTGGGACACCTGCCAGTTCTCTGTTGTGTCCCCAGATCCCTCCATCAGTTTCCTTTTTCTGGTGTAATGAGTCCAGCCCTCTTCAGCCGTCCTCTCTGCGGTTTCTGTGGCCAGGAACACGGGTAGGGGGCCTTCCCAGCTGGGCTGGAGTCGATCTTCTTTCCAGGACTTTATAACACCAGGTCCCGGGGCTGGAAGCAGTGAGCGAAGGGCTCAGGTGGGGGCGTCTGGGCGAGGAGTCCTTTCAGCCTGAGAGAAGATAAGGTAGAAGCCACGGCCAGCACATGTCCCCTTAGAAATGGATCCTTTGTTTCCATGGTGGGCAGGTCTGTTGCCCTTCCAAGGTATGGCTGCCCATATAATTTGATTAAATGTTTCTTTTGAGAGTCTGATTCATTCTACCTTTTCAGAGGATGGTAGATGCAAAGAAATATGGAAATCCCATTGTACCTAGAGTGCCATGTAATAACTTTGAAGTAAAATGCCTCCCATTGTCTGAGTCAACATTTTCCATTAACCCAAACCTAGGAATTACTTGCTCTACAAGTACTTTTATTACTGATCCTGCCATTGCAGTTGTTAATGGGTGGGCTTCTCTACCCATTCAGTGGGAGGGTCAACAATCACAAATATTTAAGCCTTCCCACTTTGGCATCCTGGTAAAGTCAATCTGGGTGCTGTGGAGGGGTCTTATTCCTGGGGGTCTCCCTCCAGGTCTGGCTTTCTCATACTCTTTTTATTAATTCTCTGGCACATTATGCAATTCCTACATACCTGTTTAGCAATGGTGTAAATACTAGCACACCCATAAACCTTTAGCAAAGCGTCACACCTCGCCTGGGGACCCCAGCGGCTCCCTCTGTGTGACATGTTCATCAGCTCTCACAATAGGTCGGCTGATCATTTCTCTCCCATCTGGTAAATGGTAAAGTCCACCACCCTTTCTCATCTCCAGATGCCCCCACCTCCTGTAGCTTAATTTCTTTTTTGTGGGGGAAAACTCTGGGATCAAGGAAATTTTAGGGATATTAGGAGTGATATTCAAAAGTCTAATTTCATCTTCAGATGCAGCCTCTTTAGTGGCTACATCAGCAATTCTATTACCTGTTGCTTCATAAGAATTTCCTTTCTGGTGACCATGCACATGCATTATAGATATTTTAGCTGGCAGTTAAAGGTTTTCTAGAACCTCCTTGATTAATTCCCTGTGAATTAGTTCCTTTTCTTTACTGTTTATGAGACCTCTTTCTGTCCAAATTTTTCCAAAGGTATGGACTGCTCTGGAGGCATATTTGGAGTCCGTGTAAATGGTGCCTTCCTTATCTGAAAGTAGTTTTAAGACCTGATTAAGGGCAAACAACTCACAGGTTTGGGCTGATCAATTATTGGGTAATCTCCCATTTTTACAGATGGGTAACTGGCCTCCATAAATGATGGCACAGCCATTATGTCGTTTGCTCCCTATCATCTGGGCGCACTCATCTATAATGTTTCATCCCACCTAGAGGTGTTTCCCTTAAATAAGACCTGACTGGTCTGATAGTCTATGAGGCCCATGCAGCTGTGGGTCAATTCTGATTGGCCTTCAGCCTCCCCTGCACATAGGAAGCTGGCCGGACTGAGGCAGGCATCTGGGTTAGGATCAGGCCATCTTTTCAGGTAGAATGGTTTTGTATTTTAAAATTTAAGAATCTGTTTGCCAGCGCCCAGTCCACTGATTAAGCATGGCCCGGACCTGGTGAGAAGCACTGACCAGAGGGTTCCTCCAACAGCTAATTTCCTGCTCTCTTCTACCAGGAAAGCTGCAGCTGCGATGGCCTGGATGCACTCAGGCCATCGTTGAGAGACAGGGCCCGACAGTTCAGGCATGAAGGCCACCGGGTGTTTCTTTCCTCTCTAGGTTTGGGTCAAAACCCCTACAGCGGAACCTCATTCAACAGTAACAAACAAGTGAAATGGTTTCTCTAAGATGGGAGGGACAGGACTGGGGTGGTGACTAAAGATTGCTTTAATTCCTCTAGAATTTGCAGTTCCCCTGGGGTCCACTGGAGAGGGCTTGACTTTCCCTCTAACAATTTGAAATACAAGCTTCTAGCCTTTTGTGCACAAGAGTCAATCCATAAGCTACAATAACCCACTATTTCCAAAAATTTTCTAGGTTGTCTCTTTGTTTAGGCTTGGGGTATTTTATGATTCCAGCAATTCTTTCTGGATTGATTCTTTGTTTTCTTCACTTGTAAGATGACCTAAATATTTAACTTCCTTTTCTACAAATTGAAGTTTATTTCTAGAGACCCTTAACCCCTTTTGTCCCAGGAAGTTAAGCAAATCTATAGTGGTTTTAGACACTCTTGTCTTTTCTTTCCATGAAAGTAATAAATCATTTTCCATGAAAGTAATAAATCATTTACAAACTGCAAATTTGTATTCCTTGCACAGCTTCAAAGTCATCTAACATGGATTCTAAAATTTGACCAAATTGGGGGCCTCTGTGAAATCTTTTGGCAACACGTACAACAATATTGCTGTTTTCTTATTGTTCTGCAAATTATTTCACCCAGTTATTTCAGTTACTTTATTGGAGAAACTTGTAAATGTCCCCTATTTCCTTCCTTAACCCATACTCTAGCGTCTATTTTCTTTTCTTCCTCCTTTGTGAGATAGGCCGTTAGAACCTTTATTTGGCCTTCTTCTATTTATTTTTATTTTTATTTTTATTTTTTTCTAGACCTAGGCCTATTGAATAATTAGATGTCTTCCCAAGAGATTATTTCCCACTTCAGGAGCTAGAGGAATGACCCCTCTGTAATCCCCTTTTGCGATCTGATCACAGTCCTTTAACCCCAGAGACTAAAAGCTTTTCAGGTCTTGAGTCTGTAAAAATGTGGTTGGGGTCTCTTCCTTCTGTGGGACTTCAAATGCCTTAGTAACATTTTGAGATGTAGGGGCTGATTCTTTTATTCCCTTGACAAGTAGCCCTTGAAAATCCTGCATTCTAGTTCCATCCCCTGGATCATTATTATCTTACCCAGGATCTACATTTGGGAACTTTTGTTCTGCTGGCTGAACACACCCTGGCCCCGTGGGTGTTTTCATAGGGGGCTTAGAAGGAGCCAAAGGCCCCTGGAAAGCCCCGTGGTAACCAGCAGAGGGGGAGGCCTGTCTTCAGGTGAACTGGAGGCTTATCACTCTCATAAATGATTTAAACCTGGCAAAACCAGTTTTCATCTGATCCAAACTTCGGTCAGACAACTGACAGCTTACAGATCAATTCTTTAATCCAGACAAAACAGCAACATTTGGTCTTCTGTTTGTCCTTGACCCTGGTACAGAGGGCGGCCCCCCAGTGCCGCGACCTTCACCCCAGTAGGCTCTCTGGGGGGGGTTTCAGGGGAGCTCAGCCGGCTCCCTTCCCTGGTTCCCTGGGCCTAGAACCTGTATTTCCCACCTCTCAGGAGGTCCCTGTGTCCGAGCCCCCTGCGTACCCGGCCCCCCGTGACGGAGGCTCCTTGCACACACCCGGCGGGATCCCCTCCGTCCGTCCCCGGCGGTTTCCCTGGCGGGAGATGGAACCGCGGGTCGGGACTCGACTCGCTTCGCATCTCGGACGCGTCCCAGCCGCACACACCCGACCCCGGGACGCGCCCGACCCCCGGGGCAGCGCTCACGGCCACCTCCCCTGCCTTGCCTGGTGCACGAGGACGCCTGGTCGCCGCGGCACCTGCGTCTTCTCCCGGGCGTCCGTCACGCTGTCTCCGCACAGCAGTCCCGGGTCCCCCCTCGGCTTCCGGGCGAAGGTGAGACGCCCAGGCAGGGCGGGCCGCCCGAAGCCGGGGGGACGCGTCTTCCCGCCCCGCGTGGGCCCCCACCTCGCACGGGCAAGGGGATCCCGAACGAGCCCCCAAATTCTGAGAAACACACTCACCGGCCCAAACTCAGTAAGCGGACACGGAGACAGAGAGCAGCGGAGCGAGGCTCTAATGACGGTCTTGCAGGACGGGGTGTCCTGTGGGCAGGCACACCTGGGGCACTGGGTGCAAGTAACTTATTCCCTCCCCTGGTTCCTCATTGGCTGAGAGCTGCAGGGTTCACATCCTTTCCCGGATGTCATGTAAGCCAGTTATATCCATGTTAGGCTTTCTCTTACATTTGTCTTAATTTATTGATAGGTTTTAAACTTCTTTCTCTTCTCCAACAGGTATAGCCAGGTCCTTATCAATACCCCCTGATAAGGAAAATATTCAACACAGCCGTCAAGGTCAGCAAACCGCTTTGTTCCCCAGTTGGCAAAGCCCTCCCGGGACCCCCACCCCTCCTCCAGGCTCCCTGTTTGCCCTGCGCAGGCCGAAATGCCACATATCAAAATAATGTAAATTACTCCCCTTGCTTGTGCTCAGGGCTCAGGCCTTGGGAGATGACTCTCCTCTGGGGCCGCCAGTGTGAAATAAACCTCAGCACCCCAAGACCTCCGAGACCCACTTGGTTCTTCCCTCGGTGATCCAGTCCAGGCTTTCCAGTATTTTCCGTAACATTCGGTTCCCTGACCGGGAAACCCAACCCCGCCGGCCCTTTGTTGCCACCGGTTTGGGGCAACCGCAGGGTGGTGATGGAACATCACAACAGAGAAAGCGCGCCAAAAAGCCTATGAGCACGACAAAAGTATCTTCAGTCACTCAACAACCAGGAGAGTCTCCTGAGGACTATTAGGAGAGACTGTGTGATGCTCATCGCATCTACACCCCCTTCAGTCCTGAGTCCCCAGGGAGCCCACAGGCGGTCAGCACCTCATTTGTAGCTCAAGCCGCCCCAGACATCAGACAAAAGCTCCAAAAACTTGAAGGCTTTGCCGGGATAAATATCACTCAACTGATTAAAATTGCCCAGAAAGTATATCTAAACAGAGAAGGTCAGGCCGACAG